CCTTCCAAGTAGCCAGAATTACAGGCATGCGCTACCACGCCCGGCTGATTTTTTGATTTATTGTAGAGATGAGGTCTCACTGCCCAGGCAGGTCTCAAATACGCGAGCTCAGGCAATCCACTCACCTCAGCCTCCCAAAGTGTGGGATTACAGGCTGAGTCACTGAGCCTGGCTATTATTATTATTAAAAGACATAGTCTTTCTCTGTCTCCCAAGCTAGAGTGCAGTGGTGTATTCATAGCTCACTGTAATTCCAAACTCCTGGGCACAAGTGAGTCTCTCACCTCAGCCTCCTGCCTAGGAGGACTACAGATCGTTATAGTGTATAGATCTTTATAAAGTAAAAGTCTCCTCTTTGATCCTCTTCCAAATTTAGAAAAAATTATTAACAGGATAGTGTTTATTCTTATGGATATTTTCTGTCTATCTAATCTATCATCTATGTGTCTATCCAGTTTTTTAAACATAAACTATATCATATTATATTGTTTTTTGTTTGGGTGTTTTTCAAGCTATATATCCTTGACATATTTTCATATCAGTGCATGTCATTTAAACTTACTATTTTAAGTCTGGCTAATTTTTGTATTTTTTTGTAAAGATGTAGTCTTGCTATGTTGCCCAGGCTGGTCATTAAGGTCTGGCCTCAAGAAAAATGTCAAATTTCTTTTTGGGTGACTGTGGTAGTTTGCATTTTTTGAAGGGTTGGTCCATATAATCTAAGCTGTTAAATTGTATACATATAAAGATTTTCAAAGCATGCCCTTATGTTATGAGCTAAGTTGTGTCCCTGCAAAATTTATATATTAGAGTTCTAACCCTAATTGTGACTGTGTGTGAAAATAGAATCTTTTAAGAGTTACTTAAGGCTAAGTGAGAACATAGGGTGAGTCTATAATCCAAGACAGAGAGATGTCAGACTGGCCCTCACACAGAGAAAAGATCACGTGAGGCCACAACAAAAATATGGTCATATGAAAGAACAGAGTTCTCAGGAGAAACCAGTCATGCTGAGACTTTGATTTTGAATTTCCAGCCTCCAGAACTGTGAGAAACTTCTTTTGGTAAAGTTGCCCAGACTCGTACTTTCTTATGGCAGCTCTAGCAGACTAATATACATTATTTTATTTTTTCATGTCTGCAGGGTGGGTAATAATATCCCTTGTTTTATCCCTAATATGACATCTATGTTTTGTACTTTTTTCCCCTTAGTCTTTCTTAAGGTTTGTCTATTTTATTGATCTTTTTTCCAGAAATCAATTGTCTTATTAATTTTTTCTTTATTTTTATTTCCACTTTTATTTTTCATGTTATTATTATTATTTCTTTCCTTATGCTTCCTTTGGGTTTAGTTTATTATTGCTTTTCTGGGTTTTTGACAGGGGATATTAATTATTTGGAGACTTTTAATATATGAGTTTAGGGCTATAAATTTCTTCTTTGCATGGCTTTTGCTATCTCCCAAACTTTGATATGTTGTCTTATTATTATCTTTAAGTTTAATATATTTTTGGTTTTACTAGAGGCTTTCCTTTTGAGTTTGCAAAACGTAAAGATTTTTGTATTATCTGTACTACTGATTTCTAGTCTGATTCTATTATGATCATAGAACACATTCTGTATAATATGATTTTTAAAATTTGTTGAAGTTTGTTTCATGGCCCAGGAGATGGTCTATCTGACTTTATGTTTCATGGGCCCTTGAAGAGAATACTTTTTTTTTTTTTTTTCTGATTAAAATTTTCTACAAATGTAAACTTGACCCTGTTGCTTGGTGATGATGAGTTGTTCTATTTTTTCAGATTTTTAGATTTGCTGCTGGAATTATTTATAGAGTGATGTTGAAGTCTCTAACTATAATGGTATATCTATTTAATTGTCTATTTCTCCTCTTAGTTTTTACACCTTTTGTTTCACATTTTCCAGCTCTGTTGGTTGGCACATGCACATTTAAGATTGCTATGCCTGCTTGGTGAGTTAAGCTTTTTATCATTATATAATTTTCCTCTTTGTCTTAATTTTTTCCTCTGAGTTTGACTTTATCTCATATGAATATAATTACTCATACTTGGCATTTAGCATTCTGAAAGCCCAGCTTTCCAGCTCTGATGGTACATCTGAGATACCTGGGAATTTCAGACCTCCTGATGCTCCAAATTTAACTAGAATTATTCCATCAAAATATTTGGGATGGAACCCTAAACAAGCTGGGAAAACCTCTGCAGGGAGTCTAATCTGTGCCTGAATGTGACTCAAAGTGACTACATTTCTCAGCTCCCTGTGGCACATTGAGATGGGGTAGGGCAAGCTCAAGGTAGCTCATGACAAAAAGAAGTCTCTTTTTCTAAGGCAGCAGATCTCAACTTAGGCTGAATATGAGAATTGCCCAGGATTCACAAACACAATGTCCTGACCCAGATACAACAAAAATATAGATGAATAAAACCTTTTAGATCTGACTTTTCTTATTTCTTGGGATAAGTTTGTCAAAGCCATTTTACTTATTTTTTGTAGACCTCTGGTTGACAAGCCTTTCTCTTGAACAACTTTTTGTCATTAACATATATACACACCCATCTTATTTTTCACTTTTCTAACTCAAAGAGATATAGCAAAACACGCACACAAAAGTGTTTTTCTTTTCCCTCACTCAACAATCAACACATAATACTTCTGTGGCCACTAATCACCAAAATGTGTAGGGATTTCTTCCCATCAATAGCCAATTCTACAGCAGATACCTGCTTGGAGTTCCAGAATTTAATTCAATTCTGACATCATCTACCTGGAGCTTCAGTGCTTTGTCTTGGTGTGGGCACCTCACCCTCCAGGAACCTTTATGTATCCAGTTATCCAGAAGATCTAGGAACCTCATCCTTTTAGGGTTTTATGATAGCTTTATTACGTAGAAAGGGTTGATTATATCATTGGCTATTGGAGATCAATTTAACCTTCTGCCTTTCCCCCTCCTTGGAGATTAGGAGTGGGGCAAATAAACGGTTCTGTTGAAGTGAGATTGTATTTCCAGGCAAGATATAAAAGCATTCAAGTGAAGAAGTGCATTGCTTCCATGTGTGGATGGAGGACACCTGTTCCCAGGCTGTACAACTGACTATGAATTTAGGAAGCAAAATTTGGCTGACTTTATTTTCTAATTCTCTCCAATTCCTCTGTGACTATGTTTACCTCCAGCTGCACACGCACCCCAGCCCTTCTTCTGTGCCTGTATTATGGCTCCAGTTTTCTCACTGTTCTCCTTACCCCATGTCATCTCATATGAGACTCATTCTGATGAGTAGTTTACAATTTTCCAGGGCAATACGTGATTTTTAATGGGAGAGCTTGAGGCCATTTACAGGCTTTAAATACAACATTCTGACCACTTAATTGAGATAGGAGGAAAGCAGTGTCTATGATATTACCTTGGGCCTGTTAAAAAATGTCTTTTATCAGAAAGATCAGGCTGAGGTCACAGTGGGAGTCTCTGGCAGGGAGGTTCAACTACAGGACAAGCTGAGTTGAGGTGATGGCAGAGGGAGATAATCGCAGTACCATTTTGCTGGCTGCAGAGACAACAAATCTGGAAGAGCAGCTGCAAGGATGGGGAGAAGTGATGCTGATGGTTGATAAAGTCCTCCGATGGGGAAGAGCCAGGTTTCCACCTGCAATTATGGGTGTGGTTTTTTTGATGTTTCTGATTATCTACTATCTAAGTCTGTCTGTTCTGTCTGGTGTTTCCTGTTTTGTAATGGTTTTGTGCTTGGCTGACTACCTTGTTCCCATCCTGGTGCCTAGAATTTTTGGCTCCAGTAAACGGACCACTGAAAAACTGCAAAGATTCCATGAAATTTGCAGCAATCTAGTAAAAACATGATGCAGAACTGTGGACTGGTGGAAACACCTCTTCACATTAAAGGAAGAAAAACCTAAGATGTACTTCATGATCATGATCATTTTTCTTGCTGCGGTTGCTTGGGTGGGACAGCAAGTCCACAACCTGCTTCTACCTACCTGATAGTGACTTTCTTACTGTTGCTTCCTGGACTAAACCAACATGGAATGATTTTGAAGTACATTGGAATGGCCAAAAGGGAGATATACCCAAGTTTCTCAAATAAAAAGAAAAGAAAAATGAGTAATGCATTTGCTGTATTCAGTGTGATTAAGGGAGTATACATCCCTGGGAACAGTTTCTACTGTAATATCTGGATACTAAAATGTAATAGAAGCAGCTTGTTGCTTTCCCTCCTTCTTCCTCAGCTAATAGAATTTTAGACTGCCAAGTAAGCCTTTGTGCATAGTAAGGCTTTGTGCATTCAAGTACAGTTGATGCATTCTCATCAGTTCACCATGTATGGGTAACTCATTAATGACTTGACTTGTTTTGGTTTTTCTCACCCAGGGGTAATCGAATTCTTACTTTTAGATAATATCCTTTAAAATAATATAGTGGCGAACTTTGCCTTTTAGTACAGTTAAAGTGACTTTAGATAATTGTTCAAGCTGATGTTTGCTTTAGCTAGATACTAGGTAGTGATCTGTAGCTACAGGAATCTGGGTCTAATGTTTGCTTCCACAGTCTGCTGAAAAAACTGTCAGACTTCATGAATACAGAGACCAAGTTTACCATTTCTGATGAAGAGATCCATTAAGATTCATGCCTCATTCTCTCTCTTTACTGTGACTGAAGGACTCCTATGGAATAAAATGAAACTAATTCCATGCACTAGTATGTGTAGGTTTCTCCCTTGTTCAAACTTGGCTATTTGTAGGAAAGATTGATATTTTTCTCCCAAATGAGAAATGTCTGACAGAGTTAGAACTCTAGTCCTCTTGCACTTGGACTTCAATTAGTCTTTAATAGCAGATTTTCAAAAGTTTGTAGTTAGAATCTTTAGCAAACCTTGAATTTCAGATCTTCAGTGAACTTTAGCTATATTATACAGTAGGTTAAGTCTCATGTCTATGACTCCAAAACCAGCCAGTAAAGGGTAGATATCTTTTACGTTCAGTCAAAATTCTTTTCAGTAAGAAATAATCTTATCTAATTTTTGAGACCAGAATAAACCTTCAAAAGTAAACCTCAGAATTTTCATTATTGGTAATACTGGCTGTTTTTGATTCCCATAGGTTTGGGATAGGAGATAGTGACAATAGTGGTGTCTGATTTTTTTTCTCTAGATATTTCTCTGAAAAATGCAAGGGTTTTTGGTGAGAGCAGACTTGAAGTCGTAATAGTGGGCCTTTGCTCTACATACTTTGTACCTCCTTGTAAAGCTTTTTATAATTGTTCTTTCCCTCTCAGTGGCTAGAAATTTAGAGTAGTTGAAATCTGTGAGAGTGAACCTCCAAGGGCCAAAAAATGTGACATATAGGGAAAATTTGTAAACTGATAAACTAGCTGTAATATAGTTTTGTGAATTTGTTGCACTGATGCTGTATCTTGTGGTATATTTGTCATAAAATAAGTATTGTTTCTCTCCTCTTTAATGTTGCTGTAAGCAGGGGTGCCCATTGTAGCATATGTTTGATTTTTTTTTTCTTCTTGAGTTGGAGTCTCCCTCTGTCGCCCAGACCGGAGTGCAGTGGCTGCTCCTGGCCACCACAGCCTCGACCTGCTGGACTCCGGCGATCCTTCCGCCTCTGCCTTCCAAGTAGCCGGAATTACAGGCACGCGCTACCACATCTAGCTGATTTTTTGATTTATTGTAGAGATGAGGTCACGCTGTCCAGGCAGGTCTCGAACCCACAGACTCAGGCAATTCACTCACCTCAGCCTCCCAAAGGCATGGGATTACAGGCTGAGCCACCGAGCCCAGCTCTGATTTTGTTTTTTAATGTTTCATATGAACTACCTTAACTTTACATGTTTCCTCATTGTAAATAAGCCTGTCTTTCCTATCTGGATTTTTTGGTGTATGCATGTTCTACTGATAACTACTTTTACAATTGTAATTCTGTGTTATTTCTTCTACTTTGTTTTGAGAAAAAGGGAGATTTTTTTTAACTGGGGGAAAAAAAAACCCAGTGATAATAAGTGTTGTCAAGGATGTGGAGAAAAGGGAGATCTTGTGCACTATTGGTAGAAATGTATAGTACACTCATTCTGGAAAATGGTATGGAGCTTCTTCATAAAACTAGAAACAAAAGGACACTATGCTCCACCAATATTATTTTTAAGTATATATCCAAAAAATTTAAATTTGTATGTTTAAGAGATATCTGCACTCCAATGTTTATTTCAGCATTATTGACACGGAAGCTTTGGAAGCAACCTAAGTGTCTATCAGTTGATGAACAAATAAAAAAATGGGGGCTGGGCATGGTGGCTCATGCTGGTAATTCAAGGGTGGCTCATGCCTGTAATTCCAGCTCTTTGGGAGGTCAAGAGAATTGCTTGAGCCCAGGAGTTCATGATTAGCCTAGACTGTGGGGGGGGGCAGCCCCAGCAGAGAGATTTAGGGGGTCCCTGGGTAGGTGTGGTGGCATCGGCGATTATTCTGGAGAAATAAAGAGAAAGAAAGAGAGAGGCGAGAGGAGAAAGAAAGAGACTGGACTCTGTCTAGTGCAGAAGCCAATTCTGTAAGGAGGGATAGATATAAAGAGAAAGAAAGAGAAAGAAAGAAAGTGGACAACTGTTCAACGGATTGAGCAGAAGCCATTTATTGGAACTTACAGTGGGTATTTATCCCCAAATTTTACACAGACAGTCTCACAAGTCTTTCATGAGAACACAAAGCCAGGTGCAGGAGGGATGTTCCCTACCCACCAGGTGTTTCCTCAGGCATGAGGAAGAACCATCCCAATTAAATCACAAAACGCTTACATGAACACAAAGCCAGGTGCATGAGGGGCATCCCTCACCCACCAGGTGTTTCCTAGAATACGAGGAAAGGCAATCCCAATTAAATCAAAAGACATTTACATGAACATAGACCCAGGTGGATGAGGGGCATCCCCTACCCACCAGGTGTTTCCCAAAGCATAAGGAATGAGGATTCCAAAACTATCTCACTGTTTCTCATGCTTGGTTAATATTTCTCAAAAGCAACACAACAATTCTAATATCAGAATATTCTAATAATCAATAACTTTTAAAACTTATGCATACATAACACCTAATGACCAACCTAAATCCCAATTCCTCTCTATTATGCTAATTCTACCTACACTATAGAAACTCTTAATTATAGCCCAAACCAATTCCTAAAGAATGCAACCCAGTCCAAAGTATGCGCTGGGCCCTCAGGAATGTGGCCCAGCCCAAAGTTCGTGCTGGGCCATTTCTGGTAACCCTAAATAATTCTACAAATATACTTTTAAATCTTATAAAGAAGCTTATATCGTATATAAGGCTCCCAAGTTTGACTTGAGTTTGAATTATGTTAAGTTTAAAGCCAAAACCGCAGTCTGTGAGAAACGGGCACAATGGACTCCTAAAGTAAGCCATTCCTGTTGTACTCTCAGAACTTCATGCTTAGATCATCAAAGTCCCTGCTAGTGGAACATGCCAAACAGCAAAGAAGGGAGGAGGGAATGGGCTTTCAGCTCCTGAACTCATCCTAGTGGTCTCAGGGTCCGCAGCCCGCCTGGATCCCTAACGCTCAGACGGGCCTCCATGACTGGCTCCCAACACTAGACAACATAATGAGGCCTTGTGTCTACAAAAAAACAAAACAAAACAAAACAAAACTAGCTAGGGTGTGGTGGCACACATCTGCAGTTTCAGCTATTCAAGAGACTGAGAATGGAGGAGTGCCTGAGCCTAGGAAATGGTAGTTGGTAAGCTGTGATCACACCACAAAACTCCAGCCTGGGTGACAGAGCGAGACCTAACTAAAAAAAAAAAAAGTATATATAATATACATAATATATATTTATAAAATATATATTTATATTTATGAAATATATTTACAGAATATATATATTTAAAACCCTGACTAAAACACATATATACAAACACACATATGTATATATAAAATGTGGTTTATACACACAATGAAATGCTATTAAGCCTCAAAAATAAAGTATTTTATTTATAAAAACATGGATAGAACTGGAGGATATTATGCTAAATGAAATAAGCCAAACATAGAAAGACAAATAATGTATAGTCTTACAGATATGTGGAATCAGAAAGGTCAATCTCACAGAAAATAGAGACTAGAAAGGTAACCACTCACACTTGAGACTGGGGTGGGAAAGGGTGGGATGAAGAAAGATGTTTATGGAAGTATACAAAGTTTCAGTTACACTGGAGAAATAAGTAATCAATGGCACTGCATGGTCACCACAGTTAATAATGTCCTGTATATTTCAAAGTTGTGAAAATATATTTTTGAAGTTCTCACCAGAAAAAAATGGTATGTTGGATGTTAATTAGCTTAATTGAATCTTTTAATTATGTGTACATATATCAAGACATCACATTGTACCACATAACATAATATACAAAATTATATGTCAATTTTAAAAAAAGACAAAGTCATGGAACTTGCAGCCAGTTCTGGTCCTAATGATATTGATCTTTCATCTTCAGCCACCACTTGCCCACCATCTTCAGAGTGAGAAAGAAAGCATAGGAGTGAGAAGTTACCACTTTGCTCTGGAGCCAAAATTAGGACTTAGCTTTTGATTGTGGATGGGAAAGTTTTCTTTTGCAGAATTCTACGCAACTAGTGCCTGGTCCACAACAATGACCTTCCCACCTACCGCACTTGATCTGCTGGCCAGAAGCTCACAAAGTAGTCGTGAGCTAGAGTGACCTACCAGCTGGGGAGAATCCTGGGGTTCCATCGGACACTACTTTTTTCAAAACTCATAGAATTTTCTTTAAATCAAGCTGGCAGCTTTTCTGGTACTCAGTGGCAAGCACATCACACTACACACACACATGCACATACACACACACACACACACACCATAAAAAACATTTTAATCTATTTGGTGTATTTTGTCCCAGGGTTAATCAGTCCTGTTTCAAATTTCTTTTCTGGAGTCCTTAGCTAATTGAAATAATGTCCTGGTAGTAAGTTTTATCCAGCTACTGCTTGAAAGCACTGATATGACATTCACAACCTAATTAGGACTTTGTTACTTTTTAAAAAAATTTTTAAATAAAGTAGGTCCTCAGATTTTT